GTGGGAGATTTTAGGGGTACCCAACATCAGAAGAAACCAAATCAAAAATGTTCCCCCCATACACGAATTCACTTTCCTTTGATGATGAACAACCCACAACATCTCTCTCACTCTAAAATCTCTCTCTCCTTCTATAACCATCCATTCTTCTTTGCTTTTTCTTTCATTTTCCTGTGCTTTTTGATTGATATTTGTTATTACCCTCTGCAATCCTCCCTTTTGATTTGTTCTATTATACATAGTAATTGGGTTCTTCATTTACTTTTTCTTTCTTGCATTCCTTGGTTGAACCAACACTGGTCATCAGAGACTTATAGCGATGACAAATCTTTCGAGCTTGATGGACAACACTTCTATAACCATCCATTCTTCTTTGCTTTTTCTTTCCTTTTCTTGTGCTTTTTGATTGCTATTTGTTATTACCTTCTGCAATCCTCCCTTTTGATTTGTTCTATTATACGGAGTAATTGGGTTCTTCATTTACTTTTTCTTTCTTGCATTCCTTAATTGAACCAACACTGGCATCAGAGGCTTAAGGCGACGAGAAATCGTTCGAGCTTGATGGACAACACTTTTGGATGAAATGAAGTAGAGGGAAAGATCATCAGTAATGTTTCCATCTCATATCATCAATAATCTTCAACTCAGTTGCATCAACTATCATTTTATGTGTAAATCAACTGCCATTTTAGTTTTACACATAAAGCTTGAAGAATATGGATTAGAAATCAACTCAATTGATTCGGAGATCGAAAAGTAGAAGTTTGGGTGTTGAGTAATTGGGGCAAATGAAAAGGACAGGTAACCGTGCTGCACTTCCAGTTGACTTCATTGTAAAAATGAAAATGAATAAATAAATAATAATATTAATGAGTATTCCAGGACAAATTTGGAATTAAAAGAAAAGGACTACACTTATGGGCCGGAAAGTGGTCGGAATTAAGCTTCAGGGGTTAACTTGCACGGATTTAGATAGTTGTGGTACTAATTTATTCATTTTTGTAGTCCAGGGGGTAAAATGCCGATTTGTGATAGTTCAGGGAGGTTGTTTGCACTTTTGCCTACAATTTTTTGGGGGGGTTGGGGGTCTAACATACAATATGAATACTTATTTAACAAATTCTACATTTTTTTTTTCCCGATTGAGTGGACTCACATTTTCACCTCTCAAAATTATTTCTTCCTCTTCCATGAGCCTATTCATTTGGTAAATGCCTACCTTTGCTCTTTGAAAGATTAATGATGAAGATCGGGATGGCTCAACTTGGACCCAATGACTCATAAAATGGTTTACATTAATGCAATTTCAAATCAAAAAAAAAAAAAAAAAAAAAAAAAAAATCATTTCCCCACATTTTCTTTCTCTTTTTATCATCAGATTAATCACAGTTGTTCGTACATGTGAGCTCATCAACGGCCAGAACGCAATCTAAAAGGCTGGTGTTGTCAATACCAGCGGAGGACCTGACAGTGTCCCGATGGCGCAATCAGTTAAGAATCGGTGAAGGTGGAGTAGCGTGGCAAGTTCATGATGGTTTGTAAATGGAGCATCTTCAATTTCAAGATGGTGTGTTAATAGAGCATCTTCAATTTCCCCAAGGTGAATACTAATTTTGTTTAGAGTAAACCACCAAGTGTTAATGTGAGTCTCTATGATCATCTAATAATTTCTCCAATAAATAAAGAGTAATGATACTTGCACCGATTTGTTGCACCGAATGTTTCTGATTGGTTATTTATGCATAGTACATATAAATAGAGGGCCCCACTTATTTATTTATGCATAAATAAATCGATTAAAAGAAATAGATTTGACAATTCTTTACAATAAATCGCATAAATAAATAAGTGGGAGCCTCCACTTACATGTACTATGCATAAATAACCATTAAAAAACATTCGGTACAAAAATCGATGCAAGTATCATTGCTCATAAAGAAAACTATCAAGTGTTAACATTCTTTTTGATTGGGCTAGCCACTTTTAATTTTTATTTTTAAATTTTAAAATATATATTTATTTAATTATTTATTTGTGTTTTCTTCCACAGCTATTTTACCAAAAAATTATAATAATAACAAAATTATAAGATTTTTTTTATTTTAAAAAAGGAAACAGTGAAGGAAAGAAAGTCAAATAAAGCCAAAAAATAATAATAATAATAATGAAAGAAGGAAATTGGAAAGAAACCAAAAAAATAACAAAAAAAACTAGGGGTGACAAAATTGGTCAGAAACCATCAACCCGCCCATATTCGCCTGTTTTTTAATGGTTATGGGTGAACCATATTTAATTGAGGGTCAAGATGGGTTGGGTAATTTTTAATTACTTAATTTAAGGGTCAAGGTGGGTTAAAATAGGTTAATCATATTCAACCCATATTTCACCCATCACATAATAAAAACATAACACACATCTATTATATATTGCACTTAACTCATTTCTCTCTCTAAAATTTTCTTACTCACCATCTTCTCTCTCTAAATTTGTCTCTCATCAATCCCCTCTCTCTAAGTTTCTCTCTCTAGAAATTTTTTCTAAAAAAAAATAATTAAAAAAAAATTTAAAAATTAAAAACAATTTTTAAAAATTAAAATTAAAATTAAAAAAAAAAAATTAAAACCTTATGAAAAAAATTTATTGTGACCTAGGCTATGCAGATTCTATATTTTATCTTTTTATCAATCGTCTTATTTTTATATAGTCTTGTGGTAGAGACAGTGTCATACAGGATAGTTGTACAAAATGTTAGTGATAATCAATCATATGTTATCCTACTATTGACTTTTTGCCAGAATTATATGGTTACACCTATTTGGATTTTTACCGGACAAGGAAGGAATTGTAATTTAAAATTTAAAAAAAATAAATAAATAAATAAGAAGTTATAATTTTACTTACTTTTCTGACCACGCTAAAAATGTGGGTACTTTAGGCTATAACTAAAGCTGCTATATTTTACAGATAAAATAAAATAAAATTAAAAACAAAAATAGAAATAAAGTTGTTATACTTATTCGTCATCTTCTTTTTCACATTGTTTAGTTGGCCAAAATAGAATTGTTTTTTTAAAAATATATATATATATATTTAAACAATTATGCTATCAACTAATTTGAAACCACAGGCAAGACATTGGATAAATTAAAATTTCAAATGGGGTGTCCATGCATACTAAAGATTAGAAATTCATTTGCAAAATCAACACTAATTGAGAAGCACGTACTTCTTTTATGAGGAGATCCTAAGGCACAGTATTACTACTATTTCACAATTTTTCTACATTTCCGATGTGTCAAATAATTTTTCTAGCATATCAAATAACCAAACTTGTCTGTATAACACTATGATCATGCAAGGAGGCATAGACAATGTTACATTGTCCCTGTTTCACATTTTTCATATCCTGACGTGATATAAATAGAGATTTTTACAAAAAACTTTCGCTCAAGCTTTCTGTAAAATTTTTCATACAGTAAATAATGTTATATAGACTTGTTTTTAGCGACGCAATTTAGTAGAGATTTTTGCAGAAGTCTTCCATATAATAATAAATCTGCTATATGGACTTGTTTTCAGCAACCCAATTTTGAAATAACATTATGTCTAAAGTTTTCAGTTTAATTAGATAGACAGTTTCATTAGTATATGTCGCAGTCAAAGTCCAATGGATAACGCCTATGTAGTGCAATTTTCTCTAGGTACCGGTGGACATTTTTTATAGTACTATGCACATTGGTTTCATCTTTCATCCTATATATGTAACCATGTTACTAGTGGGCCTTATCCTAATAGTATCATCACTGAGCATAGAACCAGAGCTCATTTTGTCTGTTGATAACCATATATAATGTAAAAAATAATTAAAAAGATTTTAAAAATAAATGAAAAATTTTAATAATTAAAAATTTTAAAAATAATTAAAAAAAATTTAAAAATAAAAAATAATAATTAATGGATTCACGGGTCATAACAGGTTAACCCTGCCCATTCATATTCAACCCGTCTGAATCTTGACCCATCCATTTTTAATCTGACCTACCCCGCCCATTTGCCATCCTGAAAAAACAAAGATGGATACATTTTTTGAACCCCCACCAAGTAAGCAGTGGGCCCATTTTCAATAGCCAAGCCCTATCCGTATAACAAGTGTTTTCACTTTTCGCTATCGGCCACGTGAGGGCCACGTTTTGCCAGTCCAATACGGGCATATTGCTGGCCGAATGACCCCTATACTGCTTGACCTTAGACCACGCTGGTCAAATGGCACTATACTGCTTGCCCTAAAACACTCAATAATTTACAATTCCCTATATGCACCATATATAGCAAAACTCATATGATTTATTAGAATTTGAATGGACCACACTCCACAAGTAATTTCATTTGCAAATAAACTCTAATTTTGACCATATATAGGTAGCCATAAATAAAAATAAAAATAATAATAAATAAATAAATAAATAATTGAAGAGCCAACTTTAATTTTCCCATACAAAATCACAATTAATAACTATATTTAGGTACCATTAATAGAGTTTTGACCCCAAAAAAGGCCCCCCTCCCTGCACCCGGACTAGATACATAGTATAATATAGCGCAGCATTGGGTTGAATGAAGAAATTTGCAGGCTTAAATTCTAACCAATGAAAGTAGTAATCACACTTTAATAACAAGGAAAGTAGTTATCTATTTGATATGTCTACCAAATAAACATTTCGACTGTTCTATAGAAACAGATCAGAACACCTAAATGAATATACTATTTAAATGGGATCTTCCCCACTGATTTTGCAATAACCTTCCAAATTCAGGATCAAAATTTATGCTTTTATAGAATAATATATTAACAACAGACAGCCATTTGAGATTCTAGGCAATCATGCCATAACATTCATATCCCCAAGTGCATTCACTTTGATTGTATATATATGTGATGATACATAGTTACATACCAAAGACACTTACGGGACTCCTAAAGTTAAAAGCAAATTCCCACCATGAGAATGAAAGTGGCACAGCTCACTTGGCTGCTCCTAATGCTCCTTCCTTGCCACCACTTTTTTTTCCCTATTGTATGTACTGCAAACCAGATTGATAACCTTAACAAGTTGATTAAGTCCCGGAGATCAAAAAGTCCTCCGGTTGCACAATCTTGGGCTGAACTAGCTGTCGGAGATGAACATTATTCTCCGGTGTACATTGGACCTCAAGATGGATTGAGGAAAGCTGACAAGATTAGAGCTCTACCGGGGCAGCCAGAAGGAGTGGACTTTGATCAGTATGGAGGCTATGTAACTGTGGATCCAAAAGCAGGAAGAGAACTGTTCTATTACTTTGTGGAGTCACCACAGAAATCTTCCAGCAAACCTTTAGTCCTATGGCTCAATGGAGGTAATACAATGCCATGATCTTTTTCTATTATAAAGCACCATAAAAATTAAAGATAACAGCATGATATGTGTGTGTGCGTGAGCATTTTCATTGAACATAAATTAAGGAATTTATAAATATCATTAGAAGAACTTGATGGGGGTTAAGTCCATGGTCTATAGTTTCTCAGACTGTTCAACTAGTGTGAATTCCACAATATGCTTCAAGCCAACATATAATGTCACTAGAAGAACTTAAGAAGTGGATATTATAGATTTTATTTTTTAATTTTTTTTTGTTTATTAACTTGTAATATTTTCTAACTTAAATCATTGAGTTAATTCAGAGCACCAAACACATAATCATCTAACCCATTCTCTTAACCTGTGTGCATACCACAATTATGATGGAAAATTTTAACATATATTAATGCGTTTAGCAGCATGGAATTCACAGTTCAAAAGTGAATTGTGGACTGTATTAGTTCAAATTTTAAAATAATTTGATTTCAATTCCAATTCTTAAGTATCAATTCAATGTTTCTAAACGCAACATTAAAAAAAAAATGAAAAATAAAAAAACCATTGATTGGTAAACACTAAATCCCTGATTTGGAGTTACTTGGTGGAATTCTGTGGCCGATGGTAAAAGCACAAAAATATGGCAACCATTAATTGATGGAAGGTGGACCAACAAATAGTTGGAACCATTAGATACCAATCATTGTGTCCACATTGGAAAAGGGGTTTCCAAACAAATTCCAACATTAACTGTTTTTCCTGATTGCTTCGTTATGAGAATATTTCTAGTGATGGTCACTGTATATTCACTCTTTAGATGTTTCATATTATACACTTAATTTCTTTAGAATGAAGTACTAATTGAATGTTACCATTGTACAACACCACAACCATTGCATAGTTACTTCATTAATCTGTTAATTTGTATGATATGTTTGCAACAGGACCAGGATGCTCATCACTTGGCTATGGAGCAATGGAAGAATTGGGACCCTTCAGAGTCAAAAGTGATGGAAAGACACTCTTCAGAAACGACTATGCATGGAACAATGGTAAATACTGAACTCATATTCTCTATGTTAAAAACTAACTAATCAAGATAGACTTTGGACTAAGGCCTCCAGAAAACTTACAGTGGCAAATGTGCTATTCCTGGAATCCCCTGCTGGAGTCGGGTTTTCATATTCAAATACATCCTCTGACTATGACAATGCTGGTGATAAGAGCACCGCCAACGACTCGTATACATTTCTACTAAACTGGCTTGAGAGGTTCCCCAAATACAAAACCAGAGATTTCTTCATAACCGGAGAGAGCTATGCTGGTCACTATGTGCCTCAGCTTGCTTACACCATCCTGTCAAGGAACAAGAACACAAACCAAACAAAAATTAATCTAAAGGGCATTGCAGTAAGTCCATTATCAATTATCCTTTGCCACATTTATGTACAAGTAAACATCCCATTCTCTGAAGTAGAAGACACAGTTTAGGACTCTTCTTTATGTTTCCATTGATGGTGCAGATTGGGAATGCTTGGCTCGATGATAATACCAACAACAAGGGGCAGTTTGACTTTTACTGGACACATGGTTTGAACTCTGATGAAGCCAATGCAGGAATAAACAAGTACTGTGACTTTCTCACTGGTCCTTCAGACACTTGTACCAAATATCAAGATCAGGCATATGATGAGCTTGGAAACATTGATGTTTACAACATCTATGCCCCACTTTGCCAATCAAATGCAATGAAGACTGCTTCCACTGGTTTTGTAAGTCCTTACTTTAGTGACATTTTCATGACAACTATGAATTTGACTACAAAAAAAGGAAAGAAAAGAAAAGAAAGGCAATTTCATCTTCTAAATGCTAAATATCCTTCATTCAAAATCACTCAAAATTTGATTTTGATGTTGCATAATTAGATCAATAACTTTGATCCCTGCACCGACAACTATGTCAACTCCTACCTGAATTTAGCTGAGGTGCAGAAAGCTTTTCATGCCAGGAATACGTCATGGTCAGCTTGCAAGTATGTATTCTTTTGCTCATGCAGAATTTATGAACAATGTAATGAGGTTTTATAACACATCAACATGTCAATTGAACTTTTCGACAAATCAAGTTTGTGTGCTTTTCAATCTGATAGAAGAAGGTTTATCATCCAAACTGATTACAATTCCTTCTGAATTTTGTGCAGCGACTTAGGATGGGCAGACGCCCCTACAACCATTCTACCCACAATCAAGCAGCTCATAGCAAGTGGCACTAGAATATGGTTATATAGGTAAGCCCCAATTTTTTCAACTCAAACTACCCACTAAACCCAAGGGCCATATCGACTCAATGTGCTAAGCACAAGAATACAGAATGCAAATCTACCAGAAACTGTAAAAATAACTACAAATGGTTTCCCTTTGGATCGATGTTACTTTAATTTACATCTTACAAAACAAATGATATAGCTTGGAAGATGGCAACATTAAATTATGCCTGAACTTACACTACCTAGCTGGTCAAACTCCCTATCTCTTTGTTAAAACTGAAATATTATTTTAACTGAATTTTTGCAGTGGTGACATTGACGGTCGGTGTCCAGTAACCGCCACTAGGTATGCAGTAAACAGCTTGAAGCTTCCTGTGACCACGGATTACCGGCCATGGTATTATGACAACGAGGTAATATATTAGGGTTGTATGCACCCATTGCAGCTGCAAGCTAAATGTTTTTAAGATGTATGCATATTGTGACAATGGCAGGTTGGCGGGTTCGTGGTTGAATATCAGGGACTGGCCTTAGCCACAGTAAGAGGTGCAGGGCATGAAGTTCCAAGCTACCAACCAGAACGAGCACTGGCATTGATCTCATCTTTCCTTCAGGGAAAACTTCCTCCATCAAATTGAATAAATTTTCTTAACCTGATTCAGCAGGTTAATACTTCTCTCTATGTAATGCCCTGTGAAGTCCTAGAAAAGATGAAATTATGTAAATGAAAATAAGGCATCTAACCTGAGCCTGTTGTGTTGTTCTGGATGGAGTTTTTTAAATGCTATACTGGCCATAAAAGAGAAGGACAAACTCTCTTAAACAAAAGTTAAGCATGTAAATTAATGCACAACAAAACTTGATCATCCAGGGAAAACAAACAGTGAGATTCCTTCACTAAAGGCAAGGCAATTAAGTTGATTATGAAGTTCTCTATATACAGAACAGGCAAAACCAAATAAAGAATAGCACATAATCATGCTGATAAGAGGAATTCTATTAAACTTAAGTTTATTTTTCATTTTTTCTAACAAATAACACACACTCGCTGTTACGAAAACTTGAACCCTCAACCTTCCACTATACAACACCATATAAAACAATACAAAAGAATGCTCCGTGTCATTCTTTCTGTTACCAATATCAAGGTCACCTCACCCATGTAGCCTGTTAACCAAATTCAGATGAGGCTAGGATTTAAAACCAAAATGGCATTGAACTTCTCACCAAAGAGCTAGCCAGTTTCAATAGATCCGAACAACTCAAAAACATAAAATCACTGGATTCAACCACCCCCATTGAACCTACTTTAACAGAATCTCCAAAACTGATATTTTCTTATTATTAATGCAGAAAGAAATGATACCCACGAAAAACAAGTCAAAGAGAAACGTAAAGAAAAATCATTAAAATCTACCACCCCTTAAACCTTCCAAAGAATTACACTTTTCTCCCTGAAAGTGATTTTATCAATATCTAGAGAAGAAAGTGGAACCGATTTTCTGAAACGTGTCATCACCAGCTCAACTACATTGCTTCTACATTTTAAACCACACCTACCTAAGCCTACCAGTGTGTAACTTTATCAGACAACACAGCAACAGACACAGCATCGACAAATTATTTTTGCCTCTTGAACAGAAATGCATCCATGGAATTCATTAACTCCAGTTCCATAACAACCCTATACAACGGTCTTTGAATCTAATGTACGAAGCCAGACACGCCACAAGTCTCAGATTGGAAGGCGGCAAAGATGCAGCAACATCAAAAAGACAGCATTGTAGAAGCTTTCTTAGATAACAAAATAGTTTGTCGGATATCACATTCACCATACATTATAATAGTTCATAAGCACATTCACAATACTAAAGGTCTAAGGCAAGGGGATCCCCTTTTCCCTTTCCTTTTTGTGATTGTCATGCAAGTCTTCTCCTCCGTTGTTCATAATCATATCTCTGCTAATCCCAATTTTAGATTCCATTGGAGGTGTAAGAAAGTCTCTGTGTCTCGCCTAATCATTGCTGATGATCTACTTTTGTTCTGTTATGGTTCTCTTTGTTCTGTTCAAGTCCTCAAAGGTGTTCTAGACCATTTCTGTTCCCTTTCAGGCCTCTTTATCAATCAATCAGTCCAAGATTTTCAATGATGTGGTATATCCGTAGGGACGGCAATTTCCTCCAACCCGCTGGGTTTCCACCCCACTCCGCTCCTAATGGGCGGATTTGGTAGCTCCATAAATGGGTTTGGGGCGGATATGGTAAAAGAATTGAAAACCCGAAGAGGGTTTGGGGCGGATTTAGTGATGCCCCCACCCCACCCCCGCCCCGACCCGACCTCAATTATATATGTACATATAAAGTATATATTTAAGTTAAGTATCCATTAATATATTTTGACTAAATATTCACTAGAATCACTACTTACTAAAATTCCACAATTGTGCACGTGATTCAATCTTCAAAAATCAATCAAGGATTCAAGATCTTAGTATTCTATCCCAAGTCCAGGAATTAATTCAACAGTTTCAACTTTATCGCAATTAAACGGAGTATGTAGGGCGGAATCGGTATTTTGTCTACTGGAGTAGGGGCGAGGATGGTATACCAATTATAAACCCGTCCCGGAATTGGAGCGGAGTTGGTATGACGGATTTTTTAATGGGGCGGAGTAGGGTTTAGCCAACTCCACCCAACTCCACCCCGTTGCCATCCCTATATATCCGACTCGAACAACATCTTCTCTTGTGGATGGTGGGCCCCACAAACCATGTGTCTGCTTTGGTGCTACGGCCTCTGACAAATAATGTATATAAATAGAATAGTTATATGTTGTAGCAAGGATTATAATAATAATTAATCTTTTTTTTTAACTAGATTTGATTTTCTAAAAGCAAGATTATGGTAGTGCCAGACCTCTTAGAGCACCCCACAATCCACCATCCAGATCTCACATGCACCATAGATAGCAAGACTTTAATGATTTATTAATATCTGAATGGACCACAAGTAATTTCGTTTGCAAATAACCTTTACTAACCATAGATAGTTGGCCATAAATAGGAAGTTTTTAAAATTTTGGACGGACATCTTTTAATTTTCCTATACAAAATCACAATTCATCATCATTATCATTTTCCCTGCCTTTATCTTACAATATAAAATAACAATTAACAACCATATTTAGGTACCATTAATAGCGTTTGGACCAAAAAATCCCCCCTCCCTCCCCCCGCCCCCCCTCCCGCCGCGACTAGATACATGGTATGGTATAACGTTGAATGAAGAAATTTGAAGACTTAAATTCCAACCAATGAAAGTAGTAATCACATTCTAATAATAGGAAAGTCGTTTTCAATTTGACATGTCTACTAAATAATAATCATGTCAACTATTCCAAAGAAATAGAGCAGAACAACTAAGTGAATATATAGCTACTCAATTGCCCTACTATTTAAATGGGATCTTCACCACTGATGTCATAATAACCTACCAAATTTGGGACCAAAATTGACCCTTTTAGACAATGACGTATTAACAACAGTCAGCCATTTGAGATTCTAGGCAATCACTCTACAAGCTGTTCCTTAGCTAAGCAATTACTCTATTCCACCATAAAAAAATTTATTACACGCCATAACATTCCTATCACCAAGTGCCTTCACTTGCTTGTATATATATGTGATGATGTACTTGCATACCATAGTCATAGACACTTACAGGACTCCTAAAGTTACAAGCAAATTCCCACCATGAGGATGAAAGTGGCACAGCTCACTTGGCTGCTCCTAATGCTCCTTCCTTGCCACCACCTTTTTTTCCCTATTGCATGCGCTGCAAACCAGATTGATAACCTTAACAAGTTGATTAAGTCCCGGAGATCAGAAAATCCTCCGCTTGCACAATCTTGGACTGAACAAGCTGTCGGAGATGAACATTATTCTTCGGTGTACATTGGACCTCAAGATGGGTTGAGGGCAGCTGACAAGATTGATGCTCTGCCGGGGCAGCCTGGAGGAGTGGATTTTGATCAGTATGCAGGCTATGTAACTGTGGATCCAAAAGCAGGAAGAGAACTGTTCTATTACTTTGTGGAGTCACCTCAGAAATCGTCCAGCAAACCTCTAGTCCTATGGCTCAATGGAGGTAATACAAATATACAACGCCACAATCCTTTTCTATTATAAAGCACCATAAAAATAAAAGATAACAGCATGATATGTGTGTGCCCGCACATAATCATTGAACAAATTTAGGAATTCATAAACATCATTTTTGTGTTGGGAGCACCTTTGCATTAACATGTTAGGAAAACGAGAAATTATGGTGACCATGAATTGATGGAAGGTGGACCAGCAAATAGTTGGAACCATTAAATACCAATCATTGTGTCCACATACTATAGAAGACAATTAACATTGGAGATCATTTTCTCAAACTAACTCCATATTTACTGTTTTCCCTGATTGCTTCATTACGAGAATAGTGCTAGTGATGCGAACTGTATATTCACTCTTTAGGTGTTTTGTATTATATGTTTTAAGGCTTAATTTTTTGAGAATTAAGTATTAAATAGAATGTTACTATTGTGCTGCACTACAACCATTGCACATTTACTTCACTAATCTGTTAAATTTATGACTTGTTTGCAACAGGACCAGGATGCTCATCGCTTGGCTATGGAGCAATGCAAGAATTGGGACCCTTTAGAGTCAAAAGTGATGGAAAGACACTCTTCAGAAATGACTATGCATGGAACAATGGTAAGTACCCAACTCATATTCTATGCTAAAAATTATCGGATGAAGATAAACTTTTGACTAAAGCCTCCAGAAAACTCACAGTGGCAAATGTGCTATTCCTGGAATCCCCTGCCGGAGTCGGGTTTTCGTATTCGAATACATCTGACGACTATGACAACGCTGGCGACAAGAGCACTGCCGATGACTCTCATACATTTCTATTAAACTGGCTTGAAAGGTTCCCACAATACAAAACCAGAGATTTCTTCATAACCGGAGAGAGCTATGCCGGTCACTATGTGCCTCAGCTTGCTTACACCATCCTGTCAAGGAACAAGAACACAAACCAAACAAAAATTAATCTAAAGGGCATTGCAGTAAGTCCATTATCAATTATCCTCCCAGTCTCTGAAGTAGAAGACTAAGAGTTTAGGACTCTTTTTTATGTTTCAATTGATGGTGCAGATTGGGAATGCTTGGATGGATGATAATACCAACAACAAAGGGCAGTATGACTTTTACTGGACACATGCTTTGAACTCTGATGAAGCCAATGCAGGAATAAACAAGTACTGTGACTTTCTCACTGGGGACATTTCAGACACCTGTACCAAATATCAAGATCAGGCAAATGATGAGGTTGGAAATATCAATGTTTACAACATCTATGCCCCACTTTGTCAATCAAATTCAACAAAGACTGCTTCCACTGGTTTTGTAAGTCCTTGCTTTAGAGACATTTACTTTTCATGACAACTATGAATTTGCCTACAAAAAGAAAAGAAAAGAAAGGAAATTTCATCTTCTAAGTGCCAAATATCCTTCATTCAAGGTCACTAAAAAATTTATTTTGATATTGCATAATTAGATCAATAACTTTGATCCCTGCACCGACAACTATGTCAGCTCCTACCTGAATTTAGCTGAGGTGCAGAAAGCTTTTCATGCCAGGAATACGTCATGGTCATTGTGCAAGTATGTATTCTTTTGCTCATGCAGAATTTATGGACAATGTAATGAGGTTTCATAACACATCAATATGTATGACAATGTAACCTCTCAACAAATCAAATTATGGTGCTTTTCAATCCGATAAAAGAAAGTTTATCATCCAAACTAAGTACAATTCTTCTGAATTTTTTGCAGCGACTTAGGATGGGCAGATGCCCCTACAACCATTCTACCCACAATCAAAGGGCTCATCGCAAGTGGCATTAGAACATGGATGTATAGGTAAGCCCAAATTTTCCAACTAACACTACCCACAAAAGCCCAAGGGCCATATAGACTCAACATGCTAAGCACAAGAACACAGAATCCAAGTCTACCAGAAACTGCAAAAATAACTAAAAATTGTGAATATTGTTCATATGCCCTTTGGATGTTACTTTAGTGTACATCCACCAATGCTAATGGCATAGCTTAGAAGATGACAACATTGAAATATGCCCAACACTTACACTACCTAGCTGGATTAACTCCCTATCTCTTATTTGAAGCCAGTTGCAATACAATTCACCAACTGCACCAGATAGAAACTGAAACATTATTTTCACTGAATTTTTTCAGTGGTGACACTGACGGCATATGTCCAGTAACCGCCACTAGGTATGCAGTAAACAGCTTGAAGCTTCCTGTGACAACGCATTGGCGGCCATGGTATTATAACAATGAGGTAATGTATTATGATTATATGCACCCATTGCAGCTGCAAGCTACAGGTTATTAAGATGTATGCATATTGTGACAATGGCAGGTTGGCGGGTTAGTGGTTGAATATCAGGGACTGGCCCTAGCCACAGTAAGAGGCGCCGGACATGAAGTTCCAAGCTACCAACCAGAGCGAGCACTGGCATTGATCTCATCTTTCCTTCAGGGAAAGCTTCCACCATCAAATTGAATAAATTTTCTTAACCTGATTCAGCAGGTTAATACTTCTAGCTCTCTATGTAATGCCCCAAGAAGTCCTAGAAAAGTTGAAATTATGTAAATAAAAATAAGCATTTAACCTGAGTCTGTTGTTCTGGATGGTGTGTTTTAAATGCTATTATGTACATAAAGGAGGAGGATAAACTCTCCTAAATAAAAGCTATACACGAGAATTAATGTACAACAAAATTTAATCAATGAGGGTAAACAACCAAAGAGCTTCCTTCACTAAAGACTAGGCAGTTAAGTAGATTCACAAGTTCTCTATATACAGAACAGGAAAAACCAAATCAGAAGATCACATAACCATGTTGATAAGAGGAATTCTATTATACTTATGGTTTTTCTTTTTCTTTTCTTTTTTTCTAACAAATAACACACGCTCACTTGCAGGCTTGCAGCTAAGAAGGCTTGAATCCTTAACCTTCCACTGTACAACACCATATAAAATAATACAAAAGAATGCTCTGTGTCATTCTTTCCATCACGAATATCAAGGTCACCTGACCCATGTAGCCTGTTAACCAAATTCAAATGAGGCTAGGATTTAAAACCATAACGGCATCAAACTTCTCACCAAAGAGCTAGCAAGTTTCAATAGATCTAAACAACTCAAAAACGTAAAACCACTGAATTCAACCACCCCCATTGAACCCACTTTAACATCATCTCCAAAACTGATATTTTCTTAATATTAATGCAGAAAGAAATGATACCCACGAAAAACAAGTCAAAGAGAGACGAAAAACAAAATCATTAAAATCTACCACCCCTCAAATCTTCTGAAAAATTACACTTTTCTCCCCGAATGTGATTTTTATCAATATCTAGAGAAGAAAGTGAAACCAATTTTCTGAAATGTGTCACAACCAGCTCACCTACATTGCTTCTAGATTTTAAACAACTACCTAAGCCCACTCCTGTGTTACTTTTATCAGACAACACAGCTACTGACAGAGCATCTACAAATTATTTTTGCCTCTTGAACAGAAATGCATTCACGAAATTCGTTAACTCCAGTTCCATAACAACCCTATATGGCGCTCTTGAATCTCATGTACCGAAGCCAGTCAAAGATACAGAAACGTCAAAAAGACAGGATCGTACAAGCTTTCTTAGAGAAAGAAAATAGTTTGTCAGATACACATTCACCAAACATAATTATTGTTCAGCACATTCACCGTACTATAGGTCTAAGGCAAGGGGAACCCCGTTCCCTTTCCTTTTGTGATTGCCATGCAAGTCTTCTCCTCCATTGTTCATAATCATATCTCTGCTAATACCAATTTCAGATTCCATTGAAGGTGTAAAAAACTCTCTCTTTCTCAACTAATCTTTGCTGATGACCTACTTTTGTTCTCCTATGGTTCTCTTTGTTCTGTTCAAGTCCTCAACGGTGCTCAAGACCATTTCTTTTCCCTATCAGGCCTCTCTATCAATCAATCCAAGAGTCTCACTTTTCCTTTTCTGGAACCCATCCCTCCATTGAACTTGACATCTTATCTATTCTAGGGTTTGAAAAGGGTTCTTTACCAAATAGGTACTTGGGAATTCCCCTAGTTACCACTAGGCTCAAAGCTGTGGATTGCAAAGTTTTTAGAGATTACCCAATGGACAGGCTGAGCAATTGATAAGCCTGTTCTCTTTAGCATACAACAAGTTGTTTTGGGCTTCAATATTTATCCTTGCTAAGAGTACACTAACTGATCTCAACAAAGTTTTTAGAGACTTTCTATGATCAGGTTCTAATCATCAAAGCAAAACAGAGACTACTATGGTCAAGATGGATGAGCACTTACCTTCTCAGCGGTCGAAGCATCTGTCAAGTCAAAATTCTTAAGGAATTGGAGAACAATCCTTCAGCTCAGACCTCTCATACAGCCAATTTCTGGTCAAATCTGAAATTGGTGACGGCAATGGCACCAATTTCTGGTTTGAAAATTGGTGCCCAATTCATTTGTGATTGTTTTTGAGATGTCCTGCTATCGAGTTAGGGCTGGCGTTTCTCATTTTCACTATTTAAAGCATAAAAACTATCACTGGTTTTATTGGTGGATTCTTGGCTTAGGCGTTGGCAATTTGGTTCACCCTTTCTTGGGTTCGAGTCGCACTAAGGTAAGATTCTACCTTAGAATCAGTGATTAAAAGGTAGAGGTTTTATCCTTATGGTTTCTTGATTCTTTTATTGTAAATTAAAGACATTGATATAACTTGATAAACTTATATAATTCATATCAATTAATTATTTATTTATTTATCTCAAATTTAGATATAGACAATTTAATTGATATAAAATTATGACTATATATTTATGATGGGAGACCAAAAAGGTAATTAGTAAACCAATAGCTTAATGTTATTAAATTTTTACAAAACTAACGTATAAAAAAAAACATTCACATAAGAGCACCGTATAAGTTGTACCATTACAAGATAGGACAAAAATAAAACGGACTAACTATCTTCAAAATGCAGTCTATTAACACCCTAACTTTCATTAAAAAAGGCATTCCATCCACAAAAATTAAAGCTTGACATAGCACCAGCTTCATCACCACCTGAAATTAAAGCTTACAACCTGGTGCAAAATTAACTTGTCTCCCATGTTTGGCGTTGTTCTTCAGAATCTCTTGCCTACATTCGTTCAAAGGATCGGTCAAAAGTTGCAGTGCCATTTATATACGGATCAAAGTAGAGTCCGTCTGTACCATTAGATAGAAGTAAAATTATGTTAGAAAAAAATATGTATTTTTTATTTAAACAACTGTAGAACATAAAAGTATTTCACAATGACAATATACTATACTAACTTTGAAGCTTCGCAACAATATTTTGCCATCCATAACTCCATGAACCTGATAAAAAAAAGCCCTCATGAATGTCTGAACAATAGTTAAAAATTGTATAAGATAACTAGTGAGGAAGTTCGTATCAAACAGATAGCTAATTAGTTAAATAACAAAAATAATTCAAAAGTATAAAGTCAAACATACGAGTCATGTTGCACAGGAAAATCTTGATGCTTTATGATATCATAAAAATCTATTTTTTTCTTCTAGTGCAATGTCAAGAAAATCTTTCTGTAATATAGAAACATAATTACTAACAATATGATCCTATCAAAGTAATAAAAATGAAATGATTTACTATAAAAGAGTTATATACCACCAATAAACCATAATTTGTGTGTCTAAAACTAACACCGCTGCTACATATGTAATGCATAACCTCATTCAGACGGTGAATGACAACAAGAACCAATGATTACCAATGCATGCAAGGAAATAGAATTGTTAAACATTAACAACATATTAGTAGTGGAAGATTGTCACAACCGAAAACCATAGGCAGAAAACAAGGCTTGTTAAAAAAAAAATAACAAACCAACTCAAATTTATGAAAGTCACTGGTCTTTATTTTTAATTTCTTACATTATCTGTCCCAAGGGCTCACCAAGCGCTTCCTACGCTGCTCCTTATTACTTACAAACTGTGAT